TAGCAGCCTTCAACTACCTGAAGGGGGGATTCCAAAGAGGATGGAGCTTGGCTGTTCTCAGTGGTGGCAGATGACAGAACAAGGAGCCAATGGTCTCAAGTTGCAGTGGGGGAGGTCCAGGTTGGATATTAGGAAACACTATTTCACTAGGAGGGTGGTGAAGCACTGGAATGCATTACCTAGGGAGGTGGTGGAGTCTCCTTCCTTGGAGGTTTTTAAGGCCCGGCTTGACAAAGCCCTGGCTGGGATGATTTAGTTGGGAATTGGTCCTGCTTTGAGCAGGGGGTTGGACTAGATAACCTCTTGAGGTCCCTTCCAACCCTGATATTCTATGGAGTGTTCCACTAGACTCCAAATACTGCTGAATGGTTAGAAGCAAAAGCAGAAATAAGATGCCTCTTCTCTGCTTTGTATGTGTTTCTGGAGCGCTATGGCACATTGTAAAATCTTATTTGTTCCTTAAGGCACCATACAACTGTTAAACCTGCAAGAGCTTAAAACTGGGCAAGGATAATGAATGGATCATTCAAGCATGCCCCAGTCTAAAACTAAGGCACTACAACAGGCCACGTTTGACATATGGAGCCCCACAGGTAGAGGCCTGACAAACAGCATGTGAATAGTAGACATATGTCCCTCCATTGAAGCTCTCTGCCAATTACAGAAAGCATATGCAATGCATTAGAAGAACTGAATAAGAAGGTGGATGATACACTACAAAGCAGGTGACAATCGGACCAGATACTACTTTTTAGACAGCTACTGTCATGGGGAAAACTCAAGTTGGTAAACCAGAAAAATCAGGCAACTCTTATTTTATTTATTTAGATTTAACAGCAATACAAAAATACTCATACAGAAGCTCCGAGGCCACTAATAATAATTATACTTGCAATGACCACTCAGGAGCATTAAACGCTAATATACAAATAAATTAACTCCACCAGCCAGCAGCATTAAATAATCAAATGGAGATAAACGGGTTCCTCAGCTAACCAATTTAAAAAAATAAATAAATAAAAGGCTTGGAAAAGCCAATCACCACCTCTCCCTTCCATCCCAGGAACATATTCTCATCCTTCCTCTATCAAATAGTTTAAATTGGAGGGAGCAGAAAGAGACCCAGAGGCAAGAATCTGCCTTATTCTGCAGTACTGTTAATGGAAATAAGTCAACAGATTGCATTGTTGGGGGAACCAGTGTGTATTAAGCAACCGGAGATTGCTGGATCCCCTAACTGTGGCCAGAAGGGAGAGCTCATGACATTTGTTGAAGTGTGGGTGCCTGGGGCTTGGTCATAGAGTTATTATTTAGATTATAGTAGTACCCAAAATGTATTAGGCTTTTCCAAACAAAGACCAACAGAAGGTAGAGGAATGAGATGCCACATACAAAGAATCGGGGTGACCTTGGGTACAGCTTATTAGTTGCAAGTCAGTGTTTAAATTCATTTAATTTTAATGTTAAACATATTGAGGCACCTGCCCTCATCAACTTCCTCATCTCCACCTCCCTTCCACACCATTCCCTTGCTTCAGTTCCAGTGTCCTAACTCTTGTCCTCCTCCTCCTCATGTTTCCTTCTCCTCACTTAAATGAGCAGTTCACTCACATGAACCCAGTTCCTGCAGAACATCTGCAGAAAGGCTTCTCTGTAAGGGAAGAAGGATGATGTGGTGGAATTGGCACCTACCCTCCTCTTCTTCTGTGACTTAAAGCATGGATACCTGGCCTGCCTCCCCTTCTTTCACAGAAATGGAGACTGAATTGCACCATGGTAATGTTCTTAGAGGATGGTGAATTTCAGATAGTGATGAGGAGAGAATTCTGCTGTACAGAGGGTTCAGGTTTTCCAAGAGTCCAGATTTCTGCAGCAGCTTGTATTACATGCTGCTCCACCATGGCCCAGAATAACCACTCTGAACCAAATATAAGATTGGATATGTGGATGGAGAGATGAGTCTGAAACAGAGATACAGCAACCAGCTATCAATCTGGCATGCCACCAAAACAAGAGTTACCTCACGTGTGACCACACCTGCCAAGATCAGTGGGACCTCCAGATTGCTGGTAATAAAAGCCAAAAGCAAGTTTATGTAGATGGTGACATGAGGGAAGTAGTTCCTGGATTTTGTGTTCTGTATTTCAAGTACTTAGAACTCAGCCTCTAACTTAGGTGCAAGAGACAGTGTGGAAGCTTCCACAGGAAAGACTGGCAGA